AGCTGTCCGCCGCCACGGTGCTGACGCGGGGAGCGGAGCCCGCGGGCGCGAGGGACTGTCCTCCGCGGCCGTGGTGCTGAACCCGAGCCGAACGAGGAGAGGAGCCGACCGGGCGCCCACTGGCCCCTGTGCTAGTGCTGACCCGGGGAGAGGACCCTGCCGGGCGCGGGAGCTGTCCCTGAGGTGGTGCTGAAGCGAGATGGAGCCCGTGGCGCCCTCCGCCTCGCCCCGGAAGAGCCGGCGGCAGCTGAGAGCTACCGGGAGAAGGAAGGAGGGCGGAGGAAGCCGCCCTCAGGGAGCTCCGCGGCGCGGGGCCTATAGCTAGGGTCTCTCCGGCGAACCTGCTCCAGCGGAGGAGGTGGCGGCTCAGCAGCAGAGACGAGCGCGCGTTCTACGAACCTGTTGGAGGCTGCAGCTCCTCCGCGGCCGACCAGGGCGCCCGGGATCGAGATTCTGGCGCGCCTCTCCCTCCCCCTCGTCCTGGACTCCTCCGCCGAGGCTCTCCCTCCTGCCCAGGCTAGCACATGTGCACGCGGGGGGCGCCGAGCCCCTCTCCGGTCCGCCCCGAATGTCAGCCGAGCTGCAGGGCACAGAGCCGAGAGGCCTCCCCCAAGGGCAGACCCGCTCCCAGGGAGACCCGAGCTTCCTGAGAAAGGAGGCGGGGGCTGGCGTTGGGGACGAGAGAGGGCGCCAGCAGAGGTGTCTGAAACCGAGAGGGAGACATGGGGGGGTTCCCTAAATAGTCATTTCTGCCCTGAAGTTGGGAACTAACAGGGTCCTGTTGCTTAGGGGACAAAGGGTATCCTGCTTTGAAAATCGCTCTCCTTCCCTCTCCATTTCTCTGGGCAGTGCTCTGTTGCAAACTCCACTCACAGGTCCAACTGCCTCTAATACCTCACTTTAGTCCATCATCCACCATTCCCTAGAGAGAGCTTTCTAAACCTGCCATATACATAGTGCATCTATAATAAACGCACGCTTTTTGGTATGGCATTTAAGATCCTTTATCAGGAAGACCCAGGGCCTACTCTCCAGCTGTGTTCCCACCAGGACAGATGACCACCCCTTCTGATCTGGTTAACCCCAGTGCCTTAGCACCCACTGCTCCCTTTGGCTGGAACGTTCTTCCCCCTCGCTACTTAATGCTTTATCTGCAAGTTAAAGTGTCCTCATTCTCAGTGAAAATTTCCCCGATCCCTACGGCACAATCACTCTCTTCTCTAACCTCCCTCAGCCCTTACTTCCCTCTTGCAGACTCCCTGTCCCACTGCATTGTAGTTGCTTATGTATTTATATCCCCTGCTACCAGGCTCATAAGAACTGGTTCCCTGTTTTATTTTTCTCTGTGTCTCCATCTCCTAGCCTGGTAACTGACATACAAGAGACTTGTTGAACTACATCTGCTGCATGAATGTACATGTGAGAAACAGAGGTCAAAGTACCTTCCTTTCCTTCATGTGATTGCTCATTTGAATACATATGTTCAATATATATTCAATGTATCATTCTTTCAACATATATATTCAAATGAGCAATCACATTAAGGATAAAGTAAAGGAAGATCTATATCTATACTTAACAAAAAAGCCCAACATGGCAGCATCCCCATCTAACCTTCCTGCCTCATCACCACCAGCTCTCCCTTGGCTCAGTAATTGCACCTACAGTGACTTTCATTTTGCACCAAGCTGCTTTAAAAAAAAAAAGTGTTTCTGTTTTCTCTGCTTGGGACCCTCATAACCTTGATCTTCACATGTCTGAATCCGTCTTGTCCTTTGGGTTTCTGCTCAAACGTCACCTCCTAAAGAGGCCTTTTCTGACCACGCTAGTGCTTGCTTCCTGAATTACTCTCTACCAGTGTCTACTTCATATTTCTCAGTAATTATTACTCTTTGAAATTATTTATTTATATGTTTTCTTGCTTCTCATTGGCTTTCCCTTAACTGGAACTGAGACTCTGCTAGGGCAAAGATCATGTCTGTCTTATGCCGTGCAGCATTCTCAGTGGCCAGCATTCTGATGGGTTCTTACCTCACACCAGTGTAGGTCATTCCCTGGAAAGGTTTGAGCTACTGTGCAGGTCGTTGAGCAATCTTCCATTAGGTGTAAATTAACTGAGAATGTTTAAGGAAAGGGGGTCACGTTGATATTCCATGGGGTGGGGAAGAAGAGGAAGTGGAGGGAAGTGGATGGGATATGTGGCTGTGAGATGACATAACCCCCTTTCACCATAGCAACTCACTTCTCCACACCATAGAAAGCACTTCCACATCCAGAGTCTCACTCGATATTCATAACAACCTTATCTGGTAGGTATTGCTCTCCCCAACATCAAAAAGATCTGAGGCCAGAAGGGCAAGACTGACTTGACCAAGATCACAGAGCTTGTAAGCGAAGATGCTATTCCTGGTACTGGGCTATGTGCTAGGGATCTAGAACTAAGACACGGCTCCTGCCTCCCGGGATTTCACATTAGTAAGAGACATGGTACAGGAACAATGGACCATAATGCAATTTTACAAATACTCAGCAGTGGTTCTCAGCCTGGGCAGGGAAGGGCTGGAAAAGAAAAGGATAGTCTGCCAGGGTCAGAATAAACTGAAATTCTTTTAAATAACAATTTCAATTTGTTCAACCCTTTTCAGGTGTCAGACACTGTACTAAATGCTTTATAACATGTTGTCTCAACCAGTCATTCCTGCCTATTTCCATCTTTCAGAGTGAACAGAACCTTAGGGAGGTTAAGTAATTGGCCAAGGTCACGAGGCTTGTGAACAGCTGAGCTGGGATTTAACCTGAGATTTTTTTGACTCAAAGCCTGAGTTCTTAACCATTATGTTCACCCAGACCTACTGAATCTGAATGTCTGGTGAGCAGGGATGGGCCTGGGATTTGAAGATGATTCTTAGGTCATTCTATTATATCCTAACCTCTTTGAGAAACTCTCATGTAGAGAGTGCTGCAGAAGAAAAGGAAGGAGGGATGAACGCTATCTGTGGGGAGGAGTTACAGGAGGTGGAAATTGGATCTTGAAAGGTTCAGTGGGAGTTTCTAGGCAGACAGAAGGTAAGAGAATTTCAGGCAGAGGAAACAAATATTCAACAGCCTTGGGGTATGGAAATTAAGCGACTGTTAGTGGTTTGGTGTGGATGGAGAGTAAGGCTGGGGTAAGGGATGAGGTGTAGGGAATGAGACTGGAATTCAGTTTGGACTTGGCTGTACGCCTTTATCACGCAGGCAGGGGAGAGCCATTGAAAGTCAAGAGCCCTGCTTTAACACTTGCCATCATCTCACAGTAGCAACATTGGATCAGTCCTTTACAACGTGCAAAGATCTTTCTACTAACAGAAATATTGCTCTAGAGTGATGTGGACCTGAAGCTCCATGAGGACACCATAACTTTGGACTATTTCTTTTTGTTCCCTGGCACCTAGCAGAGAACCTGGTACAATGTAGGAGCTCATTGTTTGCTGAAGAAGAAGAAATTGGAGGAATCTGGTTTAGAGGCTTCTGCAATAATTCAAGTAAGAGAGAAGTGATGAGAAGTATCACTTAATCCAAGAGTGCAGAATTTTTTGAGTTGCTGATTCTGGAAAGTAAAATCTATGGCCTCCTGCCTCCAAACACCTTGAAGAGGCTGGAATGTAGTTGTCCAAAATAATTGCAACAAGTTTCCTCTCTAACATGCAGAAAAGCATATTGGCACCTAGGCGGCCAACACCTAGCCAAACCAGGATTTTCTCTGTTGTATGCATTTTATGTCTTTTGGCTCCTGAATTTTGGTCCTGATGGTCTCTATTATGTGGCAGTAAAATTACATGCCATCATTTGTTTCAGTGTTTTAAAAGGGCAATCACCATGCTAATGAAACTCAGTTTTGGCTCAATAACTAAAATCTACCTTCTGTTTCTCCACACCTCCGGGAAGTCCATATGGACCCTAATAATGGCTAACTTACAGATGACCGACTTGTAACAGGTCCCTTTAAAGCCCTTGACATATCTTAACCCTGTGAGGTAGATATGACATCCTCACTTTACAGATGAAGAAACAAGAAGTCGAGAGGCTTGCCCAACGTTGCATCCTGACAGAGGCAAACTTGAGTCTGTAGGCTCCAGCACTTTGTCCGACTCCCTCCCAGATACAAATTTTCTCATTCTGTTTCTCCCAGACCTGTGTATCTCTGAGAGCCTCAGCTTCATCTTCTGTAAAATGGGGATAAAGGTAACTACTAAGGAAATTTTCTGGAGGAAATAAATGAAGTAACATATCAAGGCATCAAAATGGTGCTCATTCCCTTCCTGGTCTTCCTCGTCTGGACAAGTGGTTCCGTATTTTTCCAGCTGCTAGGGTTACAAACCTAGGGGCCACTGTCCTTTCTCTTAGTACTCAATCCATCAGCAAATCATTTAAGCTTTTCCACCAAAATGCATCCTAAGTTAGTCTCCTTCTCTCCCTCTCGACTGCACACTGTCTCATCCACACCATCATAATCTTCTGCCTGGACTACTATGGCAACTTCTTAACTGGTCTCTCTGGATCCACTCTTGCTCCCCAAAGTGATTTTAAAGCATACTTAAAACATAAGTCATGAAAACAGTTTGATTAATTATCCCAAAGTGAGTGCAACTGTGCAACTAGCACCCAGAGAGTTAAACGGATCACGTTCCCTTCGTGGCACCCAAGTTATTATCCCCTCACTCCTCCTCAAAAGTCACCACAGTTCTGACTTCTGACACTATGGAGGAGTGTTACTGACTTATGGAAACATGCAGCATGGGTCTTGTGTTTGGCATCTTCTGCTCAATATCACGTTTGTGAGATTCACTCATGTTGTTGCCTTTGTCAGCAATGTGTTGCTTTTCATTACTGTGGAGTATTCCACTGTAGAACTGTATCTCAATTTGTTGATGGATTTTGGGATTGTTTCCAAATTTTGTATAGATCTTTTCATACATACACATAAATTTTTTTTGGTATATTCCCATGAATGAAGTAAATGGGTAAGCTGAGCATATATTCAACTTTAGCAGATATTTCCAAACAATTCTTTAAAGTGGGAATACCAATTGACACTCTCATAAGCTGTATATGACAGTTCTGGTTGCTCCACATCCCCACCAATGCTCGGCATTGTCAATCTACTTTTACTTTCAGCCATTCTGTGTATGTAGTGAGCATGTAGTGGTCTTATTTTGAATTCACCTGATGGTCAACGACGTACTTATCCACAGGTTTAATAGCTATTTAGCAAACATCTTTTGGGAAGTGCTTGTTTGTATATTTTGTCAAATTTTCTACTGTAATATCTGTCATTTTATTATTGATTTGTAGGAATTCTTTATATATTCTGGATAAGAATCCTTGCAAAAATGTATTGTAAATACCTTCTTCCAGCCTGTGGCTTGCCCTTTTTCCTCTGTTGATGGTGTCTTTCGATGAACAAAATTTGCTAACATTATCATAGTTCAATGTATCAAATTTTTCCCTTTATAGTTGGTGCTTTTTGTGTTCTGTTCAAGAAATTTTTGTCTACGCAAGTTCATGAAAACATTCTCCTTGTTATCTTTCAGAATCTTTATTGGTTTACCTTTTACATTTAGAT